CAAGTCTCTCTCTTGATCTCATCAGAGATGCGGAGAGAGAACTGAGAAGCACGTAACCTCCTCAACACGTACCAAGGAGTTTTGTACCAGCACACACCCAACCACCTCACCGTGTGGCCCAGACTCGGGAAAGTCCTGCCCATGGCCACGGAGCCCTTCCCTGAAAAACCCATCCCCGGGGCCTCACCGTGCAGACTGGGCACCCCGCTCCCCCGCCTTTCACCATCTGGCCGTGGGGCAGCTCCTCTGCTGCAGGCTGTTATTGCTAATTAGCTACCTTATTTCACTGATGCAAAGATGTATATTTTCAACATTTTAGTATCTTTGAAGTTGGTGTGTTACCAGTTAATTAGCAACGCGTCTTCTTTCTCAGTAGTATATAAAATAATGATGTGTCCCCTATAATTAATGGTGTCTTAGACCCAATGACATATGGACCATTTCTCATGAGTGCTCCTTCAGTGGAAGGCCTGGCCTTCTCAGAATGCGGTCCCCACAGCACCTCAGACATTCAATAACCAGTGGCCGGAGAATTCCAGAAGGTTCTACCCATGGGGGAGTACCTGGTCCTCCCTGATTTCAGCAGTGGCCCTGACATCACCCCCACCCTGCTGGGCCAGGTGGGCTATGATCATATGCTCCCACTTCACTCCACCTCCATCGGGGACCAGCCCCACCAGGCGTCCAGCGCTGATTCTACTAAAACCCACCAGACTGCCAAGTCTCCTGCTTCCTTCCTCCACATTTCTGAGCAATTTTCGGAAAGGTCATATATTTTCTCTTCACACAAACCCCCCACCTCCCCAGCCCTGCACATGCTGATGTACACTTTCTCCCACGCTCACAGATGCCAGGCCCGCCAGCGCCAGCAGAGAGCGGCACCCGAGCACCCGGGACGTGAGTCGTGAGTCGGGTGGGAAGCTGCGAAGGGGGCGTCTCGCACTCATCGCAGCCTCATCACAGAGCTGTGCACACACACAACAGTGAGCACCGACCACTTTAACTCTTTGATGGGTCACAGTGAATTTCTCACAAGAAATATAACAGAAAATACGCAAGAAAGAAGGCTGTCTCAAAAAGCCTAATTTTGACTTGATTATGTGAAGGAGTTTACCTAATTCATACTTTGGGATAAAAAGTTTTTATAGTGATCCAATTGTATTGAACCCATTAAGGGTGTTACAAACACCTTATGCACATATATTTAAGCATTAGCTCCTCATATACATATGTGACCATGTCACACAAAAACAGTCCAGAAAAGTCCCCACAGAGACTCATCTCAAATGCCTGGGCAGCAGAAGTGGACGAAGCGCGGTTCCAAGTTCAGGCCACAGCCTGAATATCAAATTATGGTATGAAAAGGCCGAGTGTTTTTGTGGCAAAAGCACCCGGATTCCTCAGAGGCAGAAAAGCTCAAAGAGGGCGAGTACCACCCCCAGGAAGATGCTCTGGGTGGGGGCAGCAGTTCTTTCTCTCCAAAGAGCTTAAAACACCCGGTGCCTCCTGCCATCTCTCTTTCTGAATGACCCCCTTTTTCTCCCCACTTCTCTGGGATCAACTCCACTCCTGGCCCCCACCTCTCCCGCTAGGGTTTTCATCAAAGGTTCTCTATGTTTTCATCACAAATACAGTCCTAACACACTCTTAAAGGGGCTGCTAACGACCGTGGAGCACTTACTGTGTGCCACAGCAGCTGGACCACATTCGGATGGCGTATGAGATGGCTGTAGGTGGTGGCCTAACGGATGTTTTTATTTTAATAGGTACATATTATTTTAACGTACAGTAGAAAAAATATATAGCTAGCACCTGTGATTTCATAGATATAATTGTTCAGGATACGTCTAAGTTAAAAAAATTTGATTTCACGTTGATTTTCTTTTTATAATTAAGTAAATAATAGTATAGGCCAAACCAAACTCTTGACTCTCTCAGCCCCAAATGTGCTTCTCTTCCAGGGTTCACCAGCTCTGCAAAGGGAACCGCTGTTGTTCTAACTGAAAGCTCCTAGTCCTTGACTCTTCTTCCTCTGTCACACACCCCACCTCTGACCTGTCAGCAAATCCTATCAGTTCCTCGAAATACAGCCAGAACCCAGGACTTCTCCCCACTCCTCTGCCATGGCTCTCACACCTGGATAACTGGAAGCAAGCGCCACTCAAACGCTTCTCAGCGGAGGGCCCTTTCTCCAATCACAAGTCAGATCACATCACACCCCTACTCCAAACCACCCGAGAGTTCCACATCACACCTAGAACAGAACCCAAAGTCCACAGCAGGAGCCACAAGGCTCCCCCGAGACCCTCCCCTCACTCCAGCCACACTGGCCTCCTTGATGCTCCCCAAACAGGCAGGCCTTCACATCCCTCGGGCAGGAACACCCCCTCCCACAGCCCCCACTTCATTTCATCAAAGGCTGAGAGGTCTTCCCCCACCTCTCCGTCTAAAATGGCCCCTCCACCATTCTGTCTGATTCCAGATTATTCTTCCTCGAAGCACCACCTGATGTTATATTATAGATATTATTATATCCTATATAATCTGTATTTACTCATTGTTTACTGTCTGCCTTACTAAAACATAAGCCTCAGGAAGGCAGTGTCCCCTGCACCTACACAGGGCCTGCCCCATCCTGAGTGCTCAGGGACATCTGAGCGAATGAACTGCAGGCGTTCATTCACAGAACTGAAGGTGGGACTTCACAGTTGGAGTGTGACCACGCCAGGCTAGGAGCCTAACCTGTTAGTTCACTTAATACTAACCACACTCCTGGGAATCCTCTGGGAGGAAACCAAGGTTCAGGGATGTTAAGTGACTTGCCCGAGGCCATCCAGGACTCTACTCTGTTTACAGGCTTGAAGGCCCAAGTTCTTTTGAACACATCAAGTCACCTTCAAAAGCTCTTCTTTTCTTCAAAAGATTACACTTTTAAGGTACCACACTGCCTGGGGGCCAAAGGTGAAACTCCTCAGGATGACATTCCACCAAGCCACCAAGCGCTCCTGCATCTGGCCCTACCACACTCACCCAGCACCATGGCACAAACCCCCAGCCTTCCTGCGAGCCTCCACTGACCCGGGCAAATCAGGCCACCTGCAGCCCCTGATCACACTGACCCCAAGGGGCCTCATGCAGTGTGTTAGTGGTACACGGCTCCTTCTCCTGAGCTGGACTGCAAACGCAGAGAGGGTGGGACACGCCTCACTCATCTTCCTATCGCCAGGCCCAGTAACCACGGACCAGCCCCCTCACAGCCAGCTGCTGAATCATGGTTTCTGAACTACTCTTGCCAGACTCAGGACAGTGGAGGGCAGGTCAGCAAGTCCCGCACACCACCTGGACACTCGGACACGCTGTGAGCAGGGATGTCTTGACCACCATTAGGGTGGGAGGTGCCTTGTGTGGATATCCCTGCCATCTCCTTGCCTTTCATCAAATGCTATGTGTTTAAAGCGACTACCCCACCCTTAAAAGATTCCACCAACACCCAGGAACACATTCTGGAGCTAGTCAAGTTCGCCTTCTGTCTAACTCGAGTTCCTTGGGCTCCAGCACACCTAGAAGGGAGGGAAGCTGGCAGCCACTCTCCTCAGCAAGCCAAGGTGGCCTACAGCAGTTACCACTTCCAGCATTTGCCACAATCCAGCCAGTGTTTCCGCAATGTTTACTACAATGGGGACGTTTACAGAGGGGCTCTGCCCTCTGGAAGCTTACAAAGCACAGGGCCAGGCCCACCTAATCAACTCAATGACAAGGCAGACCTGCCCAGCTAAAAGGGAAGCCAAGGGTGTGGACAGACTGAGGGCTCCCCCACCAGCAGACCTGGGAATTGCTATCCTGGAAGAGCGATTTCAGAGAGTCTACACGAAGCCTGTCATTAGCATGCAGCAGTGACGTCACCCCCTCCTCCCATTCGCATGCTTCAACACCCTCCAGGGCAGGAGGGCCATGCCTGCTGCATCTCTGGAAGGCCACGGTGGAGCACCGGCCCTGGCTACAAACGCTTTACTCATTATTTCACGGGTATTGACTGAGTGCCCGGCACCTAGTGGTGGTAGGGGCTGGTGACACCACTCACTGTTGATCACAAGTTCCTGTCTTCAAGGAGCTCACTTTCCAGTACAGGGGGCAGACAATCCACAGGCCAGTACAACAGACCGCCATGTCTGGGGAGGACCCAGGGGACTGCACCCCACCTTGGCAGGTCAGAATAGGGCCATGGCGCCAATACGCATGTGCATCAACGTGCACACGTGTGAGGAGGATGCAGGGGCTAGAAGCCACCAGTGACAAACCCATGAAGGGCCAGATGAGGGTAAGGGTGAGTCTCAGGACAACCCTCCCACTGCCCGCTCTCACCTTACGAATAAGGAAACTGAGGCTGGAGGAGGCATAACGAGTTACAGCCAGCACCAGAACCCCGGCTGCCACCACTCCAGCCATTCCCTCGGTACAGCCCAGAGATTAAGAGGGTCTCTGCAATCAGACTGCCTCTGCCACTTACCAGCTGTGTGGCCTTGGGCAAATGACCACCTCCCGTGCCTCAGTTTCCTCATCTGTAAAACAGGAACGATTATCGTACCTATCCACGGGGCTGTTAGGAAAGTTACACTTACAAATGTAAAGCAATCGGCACGACCCTGGGACACGGCAGGCGGTACAGAGTGGCTGCTGCTGTGATGATGACTGTCGCACGCCCGCTCACCACCCGGCCCTCCCCGCGGCCGCGCGCCACGTCCCCTTCCGGCTCCAGAACGCGCCCACCCTCGACGCGCCCCTGACGCTCGGGGAGCGGGATCCGACCCCCGACGGCCGGCCGCAGCGCGTACGCACGGGCCTCGCGGGGCCGCACGCGCCCCTGGCCTCGGGAACGGGGGGCCAGCCCGGAGAGGGGAGGGCGGCGGCCACAGCCCGCCGGGGAGAGAGAGCCGTGCCTGCACCCGACAGGCTCCCCCCGGCTCCCAACCCCCAGCCCGGAAAGGTAGGCGCTTGCTCACACTCTGCAGCAGGCTCCTCCTCTGCGCCGCCATCTTGGAGGGACCCCGCGGGCGCGCCCGCCTCCCGGCAGAGCAGGCGAGAAGGGCGGCTAGAGCGGCCTGAAGCCGGTCGGAGGACCGCGCCGCCAGGGAGCATGCGCACAGCGCCACCCCACGGCAGAAGTGCAATGGAGCCGCCGCGGTGCTTGTGCGCAGGTGCGTTCTTCCCACTCTCCTCTCATGGGAAGATAAAGAAACGGCTCTCCGATGTTGCCTGTTGCGTGTCTGAGCATTCTGTACGATGCCTTGCAGGTGGGGCTCCTAAAGCCCCGGATTAGGGCTCTTTTGAACCTTTATGATTAGGGTTCTTTATGAACACAATGGGGGCGGCAGAGAGTGAATTATTAATTCACTGAAATAAATATTCATTGGGTGACCATGCCTGCCCCTTTAGGGGTGAAGCAGCGAGCAAGGCAGGCCCTCAAAAAGCTAACATTTTAATTGGGCAGGACAATATTTACATACGTTAAGTCGTTTCAAATGGTGCTAAATGCTGGGAAGAGAAGTTTATGGATGTGGCCTGGGAGTGTGGCTTAACTGGCAACACGCAAGGGCAGGCCGGGCTAGTGGCAGCTAGTGCGCAAGGCCCGAGGAGAGGGAGCGTGTGGGTCACAGAAAGGCGCCTGTGGCTGGAACAGAGATGGAGGGGGAGTGAGATGAAGGCTGGTGGGTCAGGCTCTGACCTTGCTGGCCCCAGGCGGGAGTTGGGCTATTCATCTGAAGACAAAGGGAAGTTGTTGACTTCTGAGCAAGCCGTTGGCAGGATCCCATTGGTAGAAAGATCCCTTTGACTACTGGGTACAAAACAGATGTTTGGGGGCTTGGAGTGGACACAGGAAGACCGATTAGAGGACTGTTGTATTAGTTGTAGGCAAGAGATGATAGTGGTTTGAGTTGGCTGGTGGCAGTGGGTGGACTTGATTTAGGAGATGAAGTTGTCAGGACCTCATCATGGACTGGTTGTGGGTGGTGATGAGAGATGTGTCAAAGATTGTCCCAGATTTCTGGCAAGAACAGCTAAGTTTTGGGGGGAGGAGAAGGGCATGATCGTGAGTTCAGTTTGGACATGTTGAATTTGAGGTGCTTTTGAGACATGCAGGAAAAGAAGTCAAATCAGTCCTTAGATGGAGAGGACTAGAGCTCAGAGCAGGGACTGAGCCAGTAAAGACATCGAGGAACGAGCAGCTGGAGAGGCAGGGGAGCAGACGGGGCCCAGAACCCAAGGTGAGGAGAGCGTGGGCAACAGCTGAGATGCTTTTGAGAGATCTAGTGAGAAGGTAGCTGAAGAAAGTCCATTAGATTTAGCTGTCCAGAGGCCTTTGGCCCAGGCAATTCAGGTAGAATGGTAGGGCAGAAACCCAGATGAAGTGAGTTGACTGGGAAATAGAGATGTGGAGACTTTGAGAACAGGCTGTTCTTCCCAGTTGGTGGGCTGGAAAGAGAAGAGAAAGGAACCTGGGATTTAGGGAGGGTTTTTTCTTTCTGGTTGGGAGAGACTTGAGCCTGTATAATGCTGAAGGAAAGGCTTAATAGAGAAGAGCTGATGATTCAGAAGTGGGGAGGGGGAGGCAGTCTAGGACTGGGATGGTGACTCACCATGCTGTCCTACCAACACAGCTCCATATGCCCCAAGATGACTGCTTGAGCTCTAGCCATTTTGTTGGAGTTCAGCCAGCAGGAAGGAAAGAGGAAGGTAGAAAGATGGCACCGCTCTTCCTCTTTTTTTTTTTTTTTAATTAACAAACATTTACTTGCCAGCAGTCTCCCTTCCCTTTTAAGGACACCTCCAGAGGTTCCACATGACACTTTTCCTTACGTCTCGTTGGCTGTAACCTAACCCATGGCCACATCTAGCTGAAGGGGAGGTCAGGAAACGTAGGCTTCGGACTGAGTCACAATGTGCCCAACTAAAGAAGGATTGGGAACTGGACACCAGGAGGCTCTGAGCAGTCTCTGCCATGAAGGGGTGTGGGAGGGGCCAGGTGGTTTGTCTGCTGAGGAAGAGTCTGGAAAGAATTAGGATTTGGAGCCCAACCTACTCCACTCTAATCCCTGCCCCATATCCTGTCACCTGTGTGACCTTGAACAAGTCACCTCCCCTCTCTGAGCCTCAGCATCGTCCTCTGTAAAACGGGAGTGACAGTCTCCTGGCAGAATCACTTTGAGGATTAGAGGAGGTACCATGGAGAGACCTGACCTGCAGTAGGCGCTGATGTTTCTTACGTTCAGGTTGCGATTTAAATTGTTTTTAAGATAGTAAACACACGTTGAGCACTTACTATATCCCAGGCACTTGCTGGATGCGTTTTCATCACACACATATTGATTTCTGACTCCAACCTGGTGAGGTCGGTGTTATATCATGCTTATTCTATAAAGTAGGAAACTCCAGTTCAGTGAGTCACTCGACAAATAAATGTCAAGGTTTGAACCCAGATCTCCTAACTCTGTGATGTTGTGATATAATAAGAAATATATATTTGGTCTTTGTCCCAGTTCCTGGCACAGAGCTTCTAAAAGGGTTTTGAAATTTCCTGAGTGATAGAGATGATAGGAGCATCTTTTGTTATTCATGACAAGTGCCTTTCAGCCATCCTGGAGTTTATTAATGAGATGACTGGTGGCTGGAAGCCCCTAGATAACTTCAGGTTGGGGACCGATTGCCAGAGGAACCATCTGATTAGAGGGATGGAACTTTCAGCCCCCTCACTGAAAGGGGAGGCGAGGGTGGCTGGGAATGGAGTTAATCACCAGTGACCAATGACTTGATCAGTTGCACCTCTGTAATGGAACCTCCATAAAAACCCTAAATGAAGGGGTTTGGAGAGTTTCTGGGTTGGTGAATGCATACACGTGCTGGGAGGGTGGTGCATCCCAACTCCATGGGGACAGAAGCTCTGCACTCTGTGGACCCTACCAGATCTTACCCTGTGTACCTCCTCATCTGGTTGTTTGTATCCATTGTAATAAACCAGCAATAGTAAGTAAAGTGCTCTGTGAGTTCTGTGAGCTGTTCTAGCAAATTATGGAACCTGAGAACGGGGTCATGGGAACCCCTGATTTGTAGCCAAATTGGACAGAAGTGTGGGTAACCTGGGGACCCACTCCTTGCGATGGGTGTCTGAAGTGGGGGGCAGTCTTGTGGGACTCAGCCCTTACCCTGTGGGGTCTGCACTAACTCTGGTAGTTAGTGTTAGAATGGGTTAAATTATAGGGCACCCAGTTGGTTCTGCAGAGAACTGGAGAATTGCTTGCTGTGGGAAACCCACACGTTTGGCGTCAGAAGTGTTGTGCTGTTGGAGGTATGAGCACCTTAGTAGAAGAGTCCACCGCCTTTCCTGGCAGCCATGTGAGGTGAGCAGATCCTCCAAGACCCTTCACAGCTCAGCCTCGGCGTAACTGCTGGAAGTTTCCCAGACTCCTGCCTGCACCTTTGCACCTGTTGTTCCCACACTTGACTACCCGGCGAACTTCTACTCCATCCACAAGGCTCTCAGCAAAAGAGAGCCCTTCTCAGAAATGGTTCCTGATTCCCACCCCAAGGATTACTCCCTCAGTCCATTTTGATCATTTAAAACTATCGTTGTTGGGCCGGCCCCGTGGCTTAGTGGTTAAGTGCGCGCGCTCCACTGCTGGCGACCCGGGTTCGGATCCCGGGCACGCACCGACACACCGCTTCTCCGGCCATGCTGAGGCCGCGTCCCACATACAGCAACTAGAAGGATGTGCAGCTATGACACACAACTATCTACTGGGGCTTTGGGGGGAAAAAATAAATAAAAATAAAATCTTTAAAACTATCGTTGTTTGCAGTGACTTTCCTGAGGGCAGGGACTGTGGCGGTTCAGCTCTGGGTCTCCAGCAAATATGGGCGGCATCAAATTGGTTGAAGAATCAGACGGAGGTGAATGGACACATTGGTGGATGAGGCACCTGGGGGACAGGCATTCAAGGTCCCCAAGTGACTTAGAGGGCAGCTGGGACATGACTTAGGGCTTCCTGACCCCCCACCCCTCTTCCCACACTTGACCCCCTCAACAATGCACTCTGGCGGGTCCTTCTTTCAAAATTCCTCGGGTCTGGTTTTCCAGCGAGCAAGAAGACGCGGGGCTCAGCACTGCACTTGGGAGAACAAGCATAAAGTCAGCGCGGCTTGTTTGCAGGACACTGAGCTCCCAGGGGGTGGGGTGGATACAAGGAAGTCTGCTGTGGACAGGCACCCTTCTCTGGGGAAGCGTGCCTGGGAACCAAGTTGTGAAGTGGATCCTGTTTTCCCCAGGACAACCGTGTGGGTCGTATTGGGGTTTGCAATCAATCAATCCCAGACATGCTTCTGCCAGAGGAAGAAAGATACCACAACTACCGCCCCCAGTAACTGTTGAAATGGCCAGCGCGGGCTCTGGGCACTATCGCGGCGCGCAGATGGGCTGGCCGCCTGGCGGGACGAGGGCACTGGGAAGTGCACACGTGGCCGGGGACATCAGATAACTCTGTGCCATCCAAACTGCAGACGCCAGAAGAATAAACAGCCGTGCCGCGTGTGGGCCACCTTCTGGGAACTGAGCAGGGCTGTGCGCGGAGGTGGGAACCGCCCCTCGTCGTGAGGTCGGCAGCCAGGCTCTCTAAGCCTCCGGCCAGCTCCCTGGGAGCCAGCAGACCCGGTCCGTCCTTTGTTCAGCCTCACAGACAGCCGCTGCAGTGACCCTGGCTTGCAGAGGACAGCTTGGAAAGATGACGTTAAGGACGCTGAAGGATTTTTTGAAAGGAGAGTAACGCCTTTGTCCGTGAGCCCACCGTCCTCATCCTCCCCTATCTTTTTGCCGTCTCCATTCCTGCCGGGAGCCCAGGCAGGCATTTTGACCTGGTTGCCAAATGAGAGCGCAGAGACCACCTTGGACAGGGTTTTTTGCCTTTCTGGGCTTTTCTTGGTCACAAGCACTGTGTCCTGTGGCTGTGTGGTCCTCGGATTGATCTTCTTCGTGGATGTCTCGTAGTCCTTTGAGCGGATACAGCCTTGTTGTCAAATGTCATCAGATAAGCTTGTTCCTGGTTGGGAGCTTTCACAGACAACTCTGTGACAAACTGTCA